AGAGCCTGGAGGACGGCACACCTGGAGGGTGGACAGAGCCTGGAGGACGGCACACCTGGAGGGTGGACAGAGCCTGGAGGACGGCACACCTGGAGCGTGGACAGAGCCCTGGAGTACGGCACACCTGGAGCGTGGACAGAGCCTGGAATACAGCACACCTGGAGCGTGGACAGAGCCTGGAATACAGCACACCTGGATGATTGACTGAATCTGCACTACAGCACACCTGGAGAGGTGGCTGAGCCTGCCTTAGGGCACACCTGGACTATTTATTAAGCCGATAGTGCAGCACACCTGGAAGATTTACTGAGCCTGCAGTACAGCACACCTGGAGGGTTGACAGCCTGTCCTGATGCACATCTGGAGGGTTGACTGAGCCTGCATTACCATGTACCTGGAGAGGACTCTTCACCACCTCACCACCTTTCCCTGATTCAAGCTACCGTACATTGCTCTGAAAACTGCAGTTTTGCATTAAACCCGTCTCTGTTAAGCTCAGCTCCAACAGAAACAAGTACAGAAATCTCCTAGCAACATGACTTAACAGGTGATTATGCAAATGATCCTGTTATACAAACTATAGTCATTTAAAAAAAAACACCTATTTTTAGGCTAATATAAAAACAATTTTCCTCTTTCCGATTTCTTTAGTGGCTCTGTGGATGCTTAAAAAGAAAGTCTATTTCAAAAAGCCTCTCACTTTGCAAAGCATGAGGCTAGTTGTTCTTCATTTGACAACATCTGTAAAATGCTGTGTACCAGGCCCTGTTCTAAGCACTTTGCTCTGTCTCCAGATACGGTCAGGCATTGTTCCAACCTGTCAAAGAAAAGCCTGCCACTCAGCACCTCATTGTTGTCAAGTCAAAACTGACTCATCATGGACCCTTTAGCAAATTTTGCTTTTTTCTTTAATCCTCTGGGAAATCCAATGCATGTGACTCACTTTATTGTGATAAACACTTTATTTCAGTGTTCCGAAACTAAACCCGAAATATCTCTGAAGCCTGCCTGGACGTGTTTTACAAGCTCCTTAGTGAGAAATGGTTCAATAATATTTTCTATAACAACTTGTTTCTTATTTCTTATAACAACTCAGTCTTGAGTTTTTACCATGGTGATTTTTCTTAATAAAAAAATCTCACTAAAATTTTCATGAGGCCAGTGTTAAGGGAACAAGACTATATTAAGAGCCATGTGAAAAATAGAGAACTTTCTCTAGAATTGTATTTAATATTTTCATTAGATTATCGGTTGCTGACCCTTTAGCAAGTTTTTTGGTTTTGTTTTTTTTTTAGAACGCCTGGCGGGTTTATAGGTGGGGCTTCAGCCTCGCAAGTTTTAAGAGACTGTAAATCACACAGGAGGAGACTGCCCATCTTTCTCCTAAGGAGTAACTGGTGGATCTGAACCATCCACCTTTGGGTTGGCAGCACAACTCCCTATCACTTAAGCCACCAGCAGTCTCTCCTCTCCAGGAAACTTTAGATACCTTTTAATCTTTACTGGGTAGCTTGAGGTCATTTTGAACTGCTCTTAACTGTGTTTTACAGTAATAAGGTTTTATGTCTAATTTTTACTTTTTCTTTGGCATCTGATTAAACAAACCTGATTAATTGTCTTTTGCGGCTTTTTAGTTTTCTTTTGTCTCCACTTTCAAATGTGTGCAATCTGAGACCTGAGCACTTTAGACTTGGTGAGAATTGTGTAAGAAGCAGAGTGTTAGAACATTTTGCCCAGGAATAAAATGTGCCCACGTCTAACGGTGGTGATGGGTTTAAGAGCCTGAGAGGGCCTGGGATTCCCTCATTTCTTAATCTTGGTGCCCATCTGTGGCATGGCAGTGGTGCGCCCACACCTGGCTCTCACACCTGGCAGAGGTGTGGGGATTATGGGAGCTTAAGACAGTGCGTGTTCTTCCACCTGGTTGGGATTCATGAAATGGGCACCATTCCCCTTCTTTACTATGCAGCAAATTCAGAGTTTAGGAGCACTGGTGGCATAGTGGTAACAAGCTGTGCTGCAATCCCAAAGGCACGCTGTTCGAATCTGCTGCCTGCTCCGTGGGAGGAAGGTGGGCATTCTCCTCCCAGGAAATTTACTGTCTGAAAACCCACTAGAGGGTCAGCTGTGATTCCTTTCTGACTCGGTGGTATATAACAAGACATTTAGTTGTTTATTTTTAATCCCCATCAAATGTAGCATCACATGCACTGTGTGTTTGAGTTACCATCCTCCTGTTAAGGTTTACGTCCTCAGAAACCCAGTGGAGGGAGACGGAATTGATTGGCTTTTCAGTCGTGGGGTGCAGGGTTCCATACAGTGCTGTGTCTTGACTCTTGTTACACCTGCATGGGTGTGGCCATCTGATTTTCGCTTTCTATTCTTTTCATTCTTTGTGTGTATGTGTATCGTCAAATTAGATCTGATTGGTACAGGAGGAGATTGTCTGCAGCAGAGCATCTGGTGGATTCGAACCGCTCATCCCTGGGATTGCAGAGCAGCTTGTTCTTTTCATTCTTTGCTATCACCTATTTCTACTTGGCTAAAAAAGTTACAGTCCAGTCACTCAGCTGTTCCTTGGATTTGTATATGGAATTCACTCCAACTTTTTAGTGTAGTTTTCCAAGTTTTTCCTCAACTGTTTGCAGCACCTTCCCCTTGCTATGTCCAGTCCCATCCCACCCCGTCCCAGGAATCCAGCAGCCCTGGACTTCACACTGCCCCCTCCAGCTTACTGGCCCTGGTGGAACCCGGCTTTTCCAGACTCTTACGCCTTAATGGTTCTCTTCGCTCTGGCTGGCATCTCCTTGTGGGTTCCCCCCCATTGTTGTTGGAGAGTTTGTTCCAGTATCATTTTTTTTACGTCTCTGAAGTTTGTTCTATCTTTGGATATCGTTTCCCTCTCCCTCTTCTTTTATATTTTAAATGCTAGGGAGCCTGGTGACAGTAGGTTAAGTGTCAGGTTGTTAACCTGAAGGCTGGCACTGTGAACCCACCAGCCGCTTCATGGAAGAAAGATGATGGTCAGTCTCCTCCTGTTAAGATTTACAACTGCAGAAACCGGATGGAGGGCTGCTGTGGGCTGGAACAGGCTTAGTGCTGGTGGGTGGCTGAGTTTTACCCATTAACGTTGCTTTTTAAAAATAGTTTCATTCTAAAGACATGATAAAGAAACAAGAGAGAACTTTGGCTTCCCTTACACCCAGACCCGTCACATGTTAACTTTGAAAGTATTTGCCACATCGTTTTCTGTCTTTCCTTCCCCACTTTGTATATATGAGAAGATCGAATTTGGGAGTATTGACATCGTGACATTGACACTTCAGTGTGCCCCCACACCCCTAAAGGAAAGGGCAGTGGTGTGTGTGACCACTTTGGAGCCGTCCCTACCAGAAAATCACTGTGATCCCCTTACCCCCCACTCCACGGACCCCATTCATAGTTCTGCAGCTGCGTCAACAGCGTTGTCCCTTCCGCCCCCTCTGTGGTCTAAGGTCCTGTCCAGGAACCTGAATTTACAATTAACTGTCCAGTCTCCTTCTGTCCAGATGGAAGGAGCCTCTGTCCTTCCCTGTTCTCAGGTCTTTTACCGTCTTGGATCCCACAGGCCTTTCATTCTGAGGTTGAGCCTCAGTCCAGCCTGTCACTGTGTTCTTACACCTGAACTCAGGACACACACGCCGGCTAGGAAGCCCCAGAAGCCAGGCTGGGCCTCCCCAGTGCAGCCCAGCAGTAGAAACACCTGTGCCCCCCACCTGCTGGTGCTGCTGCCGGCCTTGGGCCTCTAGTCAGGGTGCCATCTGCCAGCTTTCTCCACTGTAAAGCCACCGATTTTTACTTTGTAGAACTGGTGTTTTCTTGGTGTGTGGAGGGGAGGGAGTATTGCAGCATTGCATGAATAGCCCGTTCCTCGTCGCATCACCACCCCCAGTCGTCACGTCTGTAGACGGATTCTGTACTTGGCTTTGACTTTGAGTGCAGCTGCTACATTGTCGGTGGTCCCTCATTATCTCTAGTTCTTGCTCTCATGCATCCTTCTGTCCTGCCCTCTGAGCCTTATTCCTGGAGAAATGCTGCCCGTGTGATCTTGAGTGGTTGATTGTTCTAAGGACGTCTCCTCTGGCCTTGTCACCCAACAGATCCGTCTGTTGTTTGGCTGAACATTGTACCACAAGGTTGAGTTGCAGTTCAGGGTCAGAGGACTCCTTCCTAAGTGGCGTGGTCTTGGGGGTTCCGCCAGTCTCTCTCAACCTGATCTGTATACCTGGTTGTTTTTACAGTTTTGTGTTTGGTTCTGTATTTTCTCCCGCTATTGTGATCCGTGTCAGCAGTGGGCCCCTGTAGTTCTTCTCATCTCAGGGTCATAGAGCTTTTTGTGTTTTTTATTTGGCTTCTTGTCTAGGAAGGTGCTTTCTCTTGTCCCTAGTTTTTGTTGTTGTTTTTTTTTTATTTTTATCATTTTATTTTATTATTTTTGTGTGCGTGTACCGTCAAATCAGATCTGACTGGTACTGGAGGAGATTGCCCCTCCTTCCCCGGCAGAGCATCTGGTGGATTCGAACCGTGCACCTCTGGGATTGTAGTTTGTCCCTAGTTTTTTATTGCTTGATTAACTTTATGTCAGTATGGACTTAAGGATTCCAGTTTTCGTAAGTGATTTGTAATCTCGTATTCTCATAGCATTTGTTTTAATATTCAGATTTCTTTTTTCCCAATGATGGAACATTGGGAAACCCCTTACGCTGCCTCCAGAACCTCTTTTGATATGGCCACGTCCTTTTTGAGCCTGGCTTTTTTCTTTTCCTTTCTTTTGTTCTCTCTGGCACAACAAGATGCTGCAGCTTGTCTTATACTTTGCTTACTCTGGTCCATTTCTGAGAGCACCCCTTGTACCTGTTAATGGAGGATGGTGTGGAGAAGCCACGATTTGGGTGCTTGGTGAGCTCAGGGCTTTTGGAGAGCCTACGCTTCCGGCTTCCCTTGGTCACCTGAACTAGGAATCTGAATGTGTGTGCACGTACCACGCCATGTATGTCCATAGTTGTTTCTGTAACCATTTGTGTACATACGTTAAAAACAAATGCCAAAAAACAACAAAAAGCTTATGAAGGTGATTAGAAGAGAAAGTTCGCAAATGGGCGGTGGTGATGGATGTCCACTAGGGTGCCTGTAACGACGAGGCACGTTGTTCTTCTGTGAGTTGTTGCCATTGAGTCAGTATTGCACGGGAGAATGTTCATCTTCCTCTCAACCACCCGGTGGATTAGAACCTTGTGCTTTTGAATTGGCAGCACAGCTTCTTAATCACCAAGCCACCAGAGCTTACAGATACACACCAGGATGCCAGTGAATCAAACGCAGCAAATAGAGGTTGTAAAATACGTATGTATGAAAACGGATCCTTTTCCTCACAGCTGTAACTCGGCCCTAAGCCTCAGGCTGGGTTCACGTGTTCTAGATTGTTAATAATCCTTGGCATTCAGTTCCGTATCAAAGTCAGCTCTCTCCCCGATCAACCTGAAGGAGGGGGGAGCTCTTTGGTGGCGTGGTCTGTAGGGAGTGGCTCTGCTAACCCAAAGGCCGTCCCTGTCTGTCAGTTCAAATCCAGCAGCGGATCCTTGGGAGACGGACAAGTTGTCTCCTCTGTGATGTCCAGCCTTGGAAACCCGCTGGAGGGTCAGCTGTGAGCTCTGACTTCACAGTAGTCAGTTCTTGGTTAAAATCTCAAGAGCTGCGGTGTTTGTAAGTACTTGTTTCCAGAGCAGTGTTCCGATTTTAATTTCTGCTTCTCTGACTCCATAAGCCTTTCCAAAATCTTTTCTACCTGGCATTTTCCTATGATACTTTGTCTTCTAGAAAGATCTTGAGTTAGTATTTTTTTAAAATTTCCCATAAGTAGTTGTTGTTGTTATGTGCCATTGAGTCGCCTGTGACTCATAACAACCCTATGTACAACAGCTCTAAACCTTGCTCTGCCCGGTGCCAGCCTCACTGTCTCCAACACACCTACCCCCATTCCTCCAGTCACTGAATCAAGAGGCAGCATATATTAGTGGATCCTGTACAGAGGTTTACTGGCAGCTTCTGAGCCCACAGAAATAACATCAGCAGTGTGATGGAGTAATTACTTGCAGCCAGCATTCCTCTTTTTATTTACCGATTTCTATCGTTGCATAGGTTTTAGTTTTGGAATTTTTTTGTTTGTTCTTTGAATATCTTAAGTTCTGGATCAGTAACACTGTACTTTTTAATCATTACATAATGAGCAGAGCACTTGCACTCCCATTTCTTCACAGAATTTTAGTGTTGGAATGATTTATATTTTAATTAAATTGTGTTCGTGATTTTCCTTCCTTGAGGGAATATTAACATTTTTGAATGAAAAAAAATTTAACGGGTTTGTATCGTACATAGGATGGATAGAAAAGAGATCTAGGGACGTGACCCCCTGCCCCCTGTCTTCCAACACTAATAATTTCCCAGGGTGTTACAGACCAGCTGGGGTCAATTTTTAAAAGAAGCATTCAAATTTCTTTTTATTTGAGTAGAAAGAGAGGAGGTGTAAATGCCTTAATCATCTGTGCTGCTATAACAGATACAAGTGGGTGGGCAAACAGATTTATTATTTCCTTACAGTTTAATAGACTAGAAGCTGAGTTCAGGATGTGAGCTCTAGAGAAGGCTGTTGTCTCTATCAGTCGTAGAAGAAGGCTCTTGTTTGATTTAGCGTCTGCAGGCCAGGTTCCTCGGGGACCTCCACGTGTCCTGACTTGCCCCATGTCATGGATCTTCCTTGACCTCTACCCTGATAGTTCCTTCTATTTTTTCTTAGTGATACTTAGGGTATCCCCTAACCCCAGTTCGCTCTTTTATCTCTACTGAGTTGAAAGATGTTACAGGCCACACCCTCGTGATTTTCCCCTCAAAACCGATCAGGATCAAGACGTTCCCCTCTCTGTCCTCTTGCAGCTCTTTGGTTTATCAGATCTTGGGGATCATTCTGTAACCGCCGCATCATATCTTCACATCTTTGTGCTTTTTTGGGGGGACACAGTTCAATCCACGACAATAAATGAAACATTTTCTGTGGGGGGGAAAAAAGGAAAAGGTTCTGGATTTTCCATGCAGGGAAATTATAAGGTGAGATGTGAAGACTTTGGGAAGAAATGTCTTAAGACCCAGAAAGGAAAGAAAAGCCATTTTTGAGATGCTCACTCTCTCTGGCTTTCCCACACAAATGCCAAGTGAAAGCTCACCTTTTCTCATTCCGTTTTGGCTGTCCTGCTCAGTCCATTTTTTGTGACCTTGTCCTAGCTTATTCATGCCTTTTCCAGGTTTTCAGGGAGGATATAGGCTCTTCCTGCAAGAACCAGGTCACAGTGGGATAATTAAGTTACTGGAGAAGGGACGCCCTACTGTGATGTCACTGCACTGAGGGGCAGATCCACTCGGGGTGAAGGTTGGTGGCAGGAGAGTTGGTGCTGTAACACCTGCAGGCTGCTCTTGTCCTGAGTTCTGTCACGGGTGTTGATGGACGAAGCTCTCCATCTTCTTTGAGTTAAATTGAGGTCGTAAACTTAGGGGTCATATATACAGGATAAACTGTTGCCCAAAGAATAGTCTGTCTTTGGAGGACGTGCAACCAGGTTGCTCCTTAGAGGCAAGGATGGTGAAACTTTGTGTCCAAACCTTGGGCATGTTGGCAGGAGGGGTCAGTCCTCGGGGAGAGACAGGCATGCTGGAAAAGGTGAGAAAGAGGAAGATCTTCAGCAAAACGGGTTGAGTAGACTTGAACACTGGGCTTGAGCCTGTTGAAATCATGATGATGGTGAGAATTTGGCAGGGTTCGGATCAGCTGTTTGTAAGGTCACTGTGAGCTGTTGTCAGGGTAATGGCACCCGGCTACAACAACAGCCAGTTGATGGAAGACAGAATTTAAAACCATTTCAAGCACAGTGACATTTCAAATGTTGCTTTTCTGGTCTCTTTCTCTTGGTGTGTGATGGCTCACCAACATGGAACTTGCAGTATTAAGAGAGTAGCACCGGCCCTTGCAAGCATTAAATCTGACAGACAGAAAATCAGTGTCATTTATTTGTTCTGGCATCAGGAACCAAACCATTGCAGTAGCCACCAGTCAAACTCTGTTTCAGATTTGGGTACCAGCCAGTAGTAAGTTGTGTTGGGAAGCCCTCTAAAACCTTATCTGATCTTAAAAAACAAAGACCCTGTAAAAAAAGCGTGTAACTCAGTGATAGTGTCGTTAATTTAAACTCTGAGCATCTGTATAGCCAAGTATATCTTTATTCCAGATGCAAAGATTGATTGATCTGTGTATTTGATTGATGCTGGTTTTTCTCAGAATGTTGTTTCAAAGCTGTTTTTGCCCCTTGATCATTTTTGCGTGTTTTCCGCGTGCTCCCACCTTCTGAAATTGTAGATCAAGTAGCAGTTCCTCCGAATGTAGTGACAAGACTGACTAACATTGTCCCCCTCTCTTCTTCTGTTGTAGAGTAATCTATAAGTGTTCCATGTGCGACACTGTGTTTACCCTACAAACCTTGCTGTATCGCCACTTTGACCAGCACATCGAAAACCAGAAGGTGTCCGTTTTCAAGTGTCCAGACTGTTCTCTCTTGTATGCACAGAAGCAGCTCATGATGGACCATATCAAGGTGTGTGCACGTCTCTGCACCTTTACACTCCGAGCAGGTGCTTTCACAGGTCAAGGTTGGGCTGGAGTTGATTGACACATGCTTCACTGCTGAGGGAGGGCATGGTGCCACCTCCCGTGCTGTCCCTGGTGCCCGCCTGCCACAGGGCGCTTTGTCTGCAGAGTGCTGAAAACTGGTTGAAATGAACGGACCCCAATTCTTAAGAAAATAACAGCACAAAACCTGAAGCATTAGGGCCCCTCCCTCCACTACGTGAACCATGTGAGACCTGAGTGTTGTGTCTGATTTAGAAATATTCAGAGCCCCTGACTTGGTATGTTAATGAAGCACTTCTACTGATTTATCAAGGAAAATGAAGCTTCCTGCCTTGTTGTTAACTTAAGCATTTAAATTTTTCATTTAATTCATATCCTTGGATCTTAATTAATTTTCCTCTGTTCCCCTCTCCCCCCAAAGGCTGAATGTCATAAATCTCAGAAGACCAGCATATACGCCTAGCATCTGTTTAGTTACAGATAATGTCCAGTTTGGACTGTCCACTTCTCACTCCCCAAAAAAGCAGAGTTGTCAGCCTTTTAAGCCCACTGAAGCCATTGTTTCCCTGGCCTTCCAACTGGCCACCATATTAGGGTCCAGACGCTTTATGACCTCTGTGATTACAAGATAGATCCACTGACTCGGATTCAAACCAGCCTGCTTTTAAAGAGAGAGAAGAGCCAACCCAGTTGTACGATGAATTCCTTCCTTTCTGGGTTTTTTGTTGTTGTTGTTGGTCTCTCCGCCGCCCCCCCCCTTTACTACATTACATGCACAAAAAAGGTCAGTTTAAAAGCAAGTGAAGTCTTCAAATTATTCTCATTTCATGTAAGTCAAACAAATGGATTTTTATTCCATGAAGTTTCCCTTTTTTATTTTTTAAGATTTCCTAATTCATATAGAGTATTTTTGTATTTTTCCTATTTCAAATGAGCTAAAACTCTCCAGAGGTTTTATTCCTAATTGCTAAAGTGAGATTAGAGAGAGAGGAGGCATTGCCCGGGTGAATGGGTGAATAAAGTGCCTGGGAGATAAATTTCCATCATTCTCAAGATAAAAAAGCCTCTTAAGGTATTTTAAAGGTTTTAGGTAAAATGACAGGATTATCCCATCAAACACATACTTGATGAAATGTTGAAAATCAGTCATCCTAGAATGAAACTAGAACATCAGAGCATAGGACATACAGGGGATATTTTAATTCTTAAGAGGTTTTTTGGACATTTGCTTTATGGAACTCATTGTTACATCTTGAATAGGGTCATTAGCCTTGTGCTTAAGATCTGCCTTGTGTTAATAGGGAATTTGGAGGAATACAGGATTCTACAAAATAGAAACTGAAGATGAGTCCAGGGAAGGGAGGAGTCATCTTATGCATCCAAACCTTTAACAAGATGACATGATTCTGAAACAGTGGGGGATGTTCAACGGTATTCTTATTTCAAGTGTATGCTGTACATTTTAAAATACTGTTCTACATTTAGGCAGAATTCAGAGCTCTTGAACATAGGGTTGCTGTGAGTTGCAGGCGACTCAATGGCACATAACCACAATAGCAACACATTTATACCTCCTGCTTTTCAATGACGTCTCCATCCCTTTATGATTATCTTAGAAAAGAGTGCTTTCTTCTCCACTTTTAAAGTTGGTAGAAATTAATTTGCTTAGAATCTCAAGATGTTTTAGCCAGGAGATTATGGAGTTTTGTGTTTCTGTGGGTCTTAAATGGCTAAAAATAGAAAATGGTAGCTTCTGTCTTAGTGAAAGGACGTCCTAGGACAAAAATCTTCTTCCCTGCATAGTGAAAAAGAAGAACATGTTCACTCTTTTGGGCTCTCAAGAGATCATGCTTTTTATGTCTTCTTTGCAAAGAAAGTGTTAATTCCTTGATGTGGACCAGTGTCATGGTTGTAAAATCACTTAGTCCTTGCAAACTCTGCCAATGAGTAAATGATAATGCTTCCTTTATCCTCCTGGAGTAAACAGTGTTGAGGAAAGTTGGCACATTCTGTACTGTTGAGAGATAATCCTGCCTTGGGATAGTGTGCTGGAGAGGAACCCAAAATAACTGCAAACCTGGAGAAGGAACGTGGAGCTGTGGTGGACACCAGGCCAGATCTTGGACACTAGAACAACACTAGGAAAGATTTGTCACGAGCTTTATTTCTGTAAGTTAAAAAATTGACAGAGGCCAACTGCATTAATAGGAAGATAAAGATGCCTTGTACATCAGGGTACAGAGTCAGTTGGTTCTTTTGATTTGGACTCAGTGCTTTTCAACACAGAAATAAACACAGTGAGCTGGTGTTTAGAATCCAGTTATATATGGTGGTGCTGATCGGAATTTTGATCCCATCAGTGCTGTCATTTGGTGGGTAAGCAACAGACAAAAACGGTTTTAAGTTTCTAGTGAGTGTAGTTCACAAGTGTGAGTGCCATTCGTAAGGAAGGATTCAGATAGAGGGGAGAGATTAAAATTACAAAAAAAAAGCACCACCACAAAAAACCCACCAAAACCCACAACCCACCCGAACCCAGGTTACAGGATTTGAGAATGTGAACAGCATCTGTGGAAAAGGAACACAGATTTGCCATTAATGTCATTGTCTTGGTTATTTGATAAAATGGAGGAGCTGGGGATCTCAAAACTGTTAACAACTTACTAAAGTACTTTTGGGTAGACATAAAAGTGAAACTAGTGTGCCCCCCAAGGATCTGTTGAGGAGAGGAGCCGTTCTGACTCCTTGCAGTAGGTTCCATACAGCACCAGGATCCAACACACAGTTCTTTCTTTTAAGTAATTTTAAAGTGGCACGAATAAGTCGTCTTGGCACTAGAAGTACATAACTTACAGAGATCATAAAAATTAATGCTCCTTTCTTTTTAAATATTTATTTGGCTTAAGTCTTCATGTATATAGAAGTTGTTTTAATATACATAAAAGAGTTCTAGATGACTATAAAATGTTCCTGTGCAATGTCTCTGATGAATTAAGATCACTTTTTCTTGTGGCGATAACACTTTGTGACACTAGTTCTGTCCTTTGCTTTTTGTGTTGTAGTCTATGCATGGAACATTGAAAAGTATTGAAGGGCCTCCAAACTTGGGGATAAATTTGCCTTTAAGCATTAAGCCCGCAACTCAGAACTCAGCGAATCAAAACAAAGAAGATACCAAATCCTTGAACGGGAAGGAGAAATCGGAAAAGAAATCCCCATCGCCTGTGAAAAAATCGGTGGAGCCCAAGAAGGTGGTCAGCCCGGGGTGGACATGCTGGGAGTGCGACCGACTGTTCACACAGAGGGACGTTTACATCTCGCACATGAGGAAGGAGCACGGGAAGGTAAGGGGAAGGCAGGTGAGGGAAAGGTGGGCGGCGGCCACTGTGACTGCATGGAGTTTTGACCAGATTCTGAGAACATTGAGTTTTGTGAGTCTGAAAACCACGCTGGTGTCTTTGACCCTTCGTTTCTTCACTGATAGAATGAGAGAACTGGATGGTGGTCTTTCTAGATCCATCCCATCTTCTTCTGTAACTAGGCTGACCATTGCTTTCATTCTGTACCCCACCTCTCGCAGGAAGTTACCCACCATATTTACATTTGTAGCTGAGGAGTTTGGGACCCATCGCAGACCAGGGTCAAAAACATTGAATTTACCCGTTAGCCTGATGGCAGAAAAAATGGAAGAAAGTTGGCGGGGGGGGGGGGGGGGTGAGGGGGTGGTGGAGAAAGTGTTCCAAAATGCTCGTATGACTTGGCCGGTTCTTTGTGGAGTTCGGTAGTCAGGAGAGGAAGCAGCTTGAGACCACCCAGGACGTGCCCTGTCACCCCCAGGAAGCACCGCTCGCCTTGTTTCATGGCATTATTGAGCTTTGAACAGAGTTCCTTTTTTTTTTACAAACTGAAGTTTTGTAGCAACCAGCTGTGTGCCCGGCAAGCCTCTTGGTGCCATTTTTCCATATATTTCTACAGAAACAGCGGATGCTTGTTTAATGATGCTGTGTTCCTTGTTCTCACAGTGTTTCAGACTTCTTCATAAAGCTGTTGCACACAGACTAAAGTGGGAAGTGGACACGTTGGTGTTTTCACGATACGTTCGTTCTGTGTGGTGATGATCTGGCATCGAACCCACGATCTCTCCGCGGTCTGTCCATCGGTAGTTAACTGAGTCTGAATTCACAAGAAAATGAGTTGCCTTCTGTATCTTACTTCTCTCTCTTAAAACACCTTCTTTGGTAATCTTCAAACACCCACATAGGAAAAAATACCCTAGTGAACCCAGCATGTACCCCTCATTGAGTTTCAACAGTTACCCACATAATGCCAGTCTTATTAATTTCTTTTTCTTATCATCGCCAATTTGGCTGTAGTATTCCTAAAGTAAGCAGTTTCCACCTATAAATACTAAGTACACATTTCTCCCTGGTAAATATTTTTCCAGTACATATCACTGGATCCAATAGTTAGCAAAATTACTTTTCATATTATTTACTACTCAGGGTATTTTGTCTCAGGATTGGTTTGTTCCAGCCAGGATGTAAACAGAGTCTACATATTGCATTTGGCTGTTGTAGAACTTTATCCTCTTTTAGTTTATATAACAATCTGCACTCCCTTTACCTTTTTTCATGTGCTTGGTGGGAAAATTGGGTCATTGGCTCTATAAACTGTCCTCACATTTTCTGATTTGAGTAATAGCTTCCCTTTGACATTGTTACCATGTTCATTGAAATCGCATCATTCCTAGAATTTAAGCTCAGGTTAAGTGTATTTAACTAAAAATACATCATAGATGGTGTTTTAGTCTCTGTGTCATATAAATGAGTCATGTAATACCTGCTCGTCCCAGTTTCAGTGACACGAAGATGAATTGCTGGGTTCAGGTACATTGTGTTTTACAAGCAGCCTTTTTATTGCTTTAACTAAAGCCAAAAGAATGGACTGATGTGTTTAGGGGAGCTGTCCAAGTAGAACATAAGGATTGATTTGCAGTTATCCAGTGCTTTGCCCTTCAAAGGCACCCTAGTGTCTGAGTGGTTAAAACTCTCAACTGTTCACAGAAAAGTTAGGTTTCAAACCCAACAGCCTTTCCTAGTTCCTTGAGAGAAAGAGGAGGCAGTCGGCTTCTGTGAAGGTTTGCAGCCTGGGAAACGTAGGGGAAGCTTTGCTCTGTCTTAAAAATGTCTCTGTGAATCAGAATCAACTCAATGGGAGCGAGGTTTTGCGGGGTTAGATCCTTAAAAGGTTTATCCTGTTGTGTTTTAAACATCTCTCTATAGTTTCTCTGATCTGCACTGTTTGTGTGAGCTAACCGTGACGCCGATGTGCTTTACCTTGCTGCCGCCCAGATGGTCGTAACGTGCCCTTGAGCAGATCACAACGATCACAGGCTGCAAAGCCATATTGTTATTGGATTTGATGCACCGACACTTGGGTGTGTTGTTGAGAAGTCCCAGTCCTTGGGAAGAGATGCCGTGCTGGGAAGAGCAGAGGGCCGGTGAAAGAGAGGAACTCCCCGATGAGCAGGGTTGACGCAGGAATTGCAGCAGTGGACAGGAGGATGGCAGTAATGATGAGGACGGGGCAGACCAGGGCAGGGTTTGGGGCTGTTGTCCTAGGGTTGCCATCAATGAAATTCAGCTTAATGGCACCTAACACCACCACCTACACTTTGGCTGATGTTCCCGTTATAGAATCAATGGCTTTAGTAGCCCACAGCTCATTGAATTGCCTCTCATCATGACTTCCTGGACAGACCCGTGTTACTGTTGTTATGTACCGGCAATTCCGAATCCTCCAGCAGGTTTTCAGAGGTAATGAATTTCATGGAAGGAGATTGCCCATCCTTCTCCCTCAGTGCAGCTGGTGGATTCGAACCGCCTGCTTTTGGCGTGGCAGCACGCCGCCTTACCACTCCTGAGCCCCTAGAGCTCTCTGGGTAGACCATAGTCCCCTATAGTGTTCATCGTTATTATTGAGTAGTTCTTAATGGGTAACAGTCTAGTGTAAGTTATTAATTTACAGACTGTACAAATGCAGTACAATTAGTTTGTTCTTTCAGAACTCGATGTGATTTCTAGGAACGGGCTGTTTCTCACTTGGCACACACCTTAAATTTCCTAAATACTGACCTTACCAAAAGTTTCATAGTCCAGTACTTTCATTTCTTGTGTATTTGAGAGCTGCCTTTATTTAACATTTGAGATGGTTTTTCTTGTTTTTATTCTTCTCCTTTATTTTTCAGTTTTCCTTAATAGTCACTGGGTGTAGAATAAAAGGTGATTAGACCATTTTGGAAAGACTTGAGGGGAATGAAATAGTTACAAGGATGATTTGCTGTGATAGGGTAGCACCGAGACTCTCTAAGGAGGATGTATATACATACGAATGTGTAAATGTATGTGTGTATATGCGAGCGTGCGTGTGTGCAATGCATGTAGAGATGTGTGTGTACTACATGCATGGGTGTGCAGAGTATGTACTTAAATCCAGCAGGGCCAGGCTTACTACAGGACATGTTTGATTTAGTAGGATTTTAGGGTTTATTTTGAAGAAATTGAGACTGTGTCCTTGGATTACACTTCCAATTCTTTTGATTCCTGAAAAAAACAAAACAAAACACTAAGAGAAGGTGGGGTGGGAAGGTAAAAAATGTGCACAGAGGCTGCTAACTTGCAGAGAATGTTCAGCTTTGATTCTCCCGCTGGTTCTGGCTGGAAGCTCCTTCACTGCTGATCGCCTCACCACCACCTCCCACATCAGTCCACATTGTCTTCTCTGCAGACGGGAGGTTCATGTCTCTTGACTTAGGTGCCTTCTCTCTGCCCCGTTCAGACTCCAGCAAGCAGCTTGCTGTCTCCACTCCATTACAGCCTGTTTTCTCCTCATCCCCGTGCCCTTGGGCATGGGATCCCTTTTGAAGTCCCTGCCTTGAACCTCATTTCTGCAGTACTTTCCGTGATGGGTAGGCCTTTATAAAACCGTGTTCCACCTTAAGTGATGAACACCACAGTCTTCCTTCACAGATGCCAGTGAGTCTGGCAGGTTTCTGTCCTAAAAATGTTTGACTGGCTGGGAAATGTCAGCAATTTCCATGGCTCCATGTAGCATAAACTTGATGTGCTGATAACGTTAACATATGTGGGTCTAGTTATGGTGTCTTGCTTGAGTTCAAGTCCCTGTAATCCAGGCAGTAAATGAGCAGTCAGCTTCTTGGAAAGCTCCTAGAAGGAGCCTTACTCTAAATCCTTTTAACACTGACTTTAGGTCTTTCCCCCATAATTTTAGGGTTCACAAGTTTAGTGTGATACTCAACTTCATGATTCCCTGGTTCTACCCAGTCTCTTCACCACCCATCCTTCTAATGCTTTGCCCTTGTTCTTGTTGTTTACTGTTGAATTGGAACCAACTCACAGCTGACCTTCCTGCAAGTTTTTAGAGGCAGTAGATTGCACGGGAGGAGATTGTCCACCTTTCTCCTACAGAGCCGCTGATGGATTTGAGCCCTGGACCTTTTCCTTGCCAGTGCAATTCCTTACCACAAAGCTACCAGAAACACTACTGGAATGAATGACTCAAGAATGAATGGTGGCGGGGAGCTCTGGTGGCTTAGTGGCAGGAAGCTGCACTGCAATCCCAGAGGTGCGCGGATCAAACCCACCAAATGCTCTGCTGGAGGAGGGACAATCTCCTCCTGTACCAGTCAGATAGATTTGATGGTACGCACACAAAAATGAATAAAATAAATTTTTAAAAAAAAGACAACCAATCCGCCTTGAACTTAGCTTCCTCTTCTTTCAAATGAGAGTAACATAGACCTAAGTGGACTTCCAGCATTTGTGACGCATCTTCCTATAGAGAATGACCAAGGCTGATGCCCAGCCCCAGTTGTGTGGGGTTTAAGATGAGCCGTGTGACTGATACACACTTACTACAAGGGGTTTGAAAGCTGATTTGGTTAAATGTCTCAAGAGAGTATAATTCTTCACTTCCCTGAGGCTAGCAATTACTGGAAAGATCTGGTTGAACCAAGTTCCCAAATGAAGTACCTGTGTGTGTCATGACAAGCCAACCCATGGTCTGAACCAGTGGACTGTGAAGGTAAAACACTGTTGTCGTAACTTTGAAAATAAATACAGGTGGGTAGGGTAATTTAGGGAATAATTTAAACAGCTTCTGCCGACCACAGTTAAGTCCTTATTTTCTGTTCTTACTACTGGTGGGTTGGTGGGGAAAATGTTGAAACACACAGAGCGATGAAAAGGCCCAGGTGGGTCGGGATAATTCACTTTCCTTGTAGAAGGTCCTTTTTTAAAAAAAAAACCAGGAATAATTCTTTGGT